TGCTTGTGTGGGTGGCCACACAGTGCTTGTGGGGTGATGCGTGGGGCGCTTTCTGGGAGGGCATCCTGAGCGGTTTTGAGAGGCCTGAACTCAACCTGAGTCTACACCTGTGCATCCGGCTGACAGGTGCTCCGGATCTGGGTCACCTAAAGGGCCAGCCTTGGGGGGGACAGGACGCTGGGGCCCCTTTGTCCCCTGGAGAAAGCACCCAGAGCTCATCCCCAGCTGCTGGGCCACCTTCCCTCAACCACTCACCAGTATGAGAAAGGAGGAGAGCTCGGCCAGCGGAAGGTGGGAGCCCCCATCCCCATGTAAGGGATGCAGGGGTGGCCAGAGTCCAGCCTGGTTCCCCAAACACCCCCAAACCGCCAAACCAGGAGCCCCAGTGCCAGGGCTGATTTTTCCATTAGCATTCCAGACGGTTGACGCTCGAGCAGGAAGCGGGGCTGCCAACACCAACAGCCAGGAGCTCCAGACTTGCTTTCTCCAGGCCAGCCAAGGGCCCACCCCCACGTGGGGGGCGAGGGGCCAGTTCTCCCCCAGGAGAGATCCCCTGAGCTGCCCAGGGCAGGCCCACAGGCTGGACAGCTCTGACCTGCCCCTTTCTCCCCCTGGCGGTGGAAACCGGGGTCTGGATGCCGAGTGGGGTCAGAGCGGTCCGTGGCCTGGGGAGCTCTTGTCCAGCGGTCCAGCCCCCTCCCTGCCCTGCGTCCATGTGTGTATTCCCTGGTCCCCATGGGGGCCTGTGCGGAGGGTCCCTCCGCTTCTGCCCCTGCCTACCAGCCCCACCCCTGCCTCCTTCCTATTCTGGCCCCTCCCCCCCATGCCCACGGCCACCAGGCAGAGTGGAGGCAGACAGTGTGCGCCCCACTGCGTGCCAGCCTGGGCAGCAGGCCACTGGCAGCCAGGAGCTGTCCAGACCGCGGAGGTGGCCCTGGGGTGGCGGGGGCTCTGATGAATGGTGTGAGCAGGGGCCCACCTGTGTTGGGCAGGGAGGGAGGGGTGCCTGAGCTGACGGCGAGGCTGGGGCACCAGCTGGGGTCTCAGGGGGTCCTGATCCAGGCCCCTGAACACAGTGTGTCTGAGGCGAGACACAAGGCCTCAGCTGGGGCTCTGGGGGGGGGTGCGGACCGCCAACCCCAGGCCCGCCCTGCATTGGCCTCACACAGACAGGCAGAAGGAGAGGGCCAACTGCATGGCCAGCACCTCAGTGCCATGTGCCCCCCACCCCACAAACCCCACCAGCCTCCGGCAGCCCCCACCAGTAAGGCGGGTCTCGGCTGTGTGGGGTGACTGGGGAGGGTCTGTTCTGGGGACCGGGGACCTGGAGAGGGGACTGGCCCACCTTTTCCTGGGGACGAAGCCTTGGTCCAGTAACCCACCCTGGGCGTGTGGAGACCCCAGGTGGTGCCCATCCTCCTGTCGCTTCCTCCCTCCTCCTTACTGCTCATGGGAATTTTCCAGGAATGGGGTCCTTTTGGGCTGACCCCCGCCCCCCTAGATCTGTCTTCTTTACCGAGGGAGACCCAGAGAGCTCAAGCTGGGCACCAGCCAGTTGTGTGACTGTGAGCCCCACCTCGTGTGTCCACAGGGCTGGGGACAGCAGCGGGACGCCCACAGTGCGGCCTTCTCGGGAGGAGGCATTGCCCACACCCCAGCTCCCCTGGGATCGACCTGGTCTCAAAGGTGCTGAGGAACGTCACGGCGGGGCCTGCAGCTCTGTGGGGGGACGGGGCTCAGGCATCGGTCCGGCCACTGGGTGCGGACCCTCCCCTGCCACTCTGTGGGGCTCGGCAGGCAATGGGTGGGGGAGGTTCAGGCGGGAACAGAGGGGAGGCGGGAGGCTGGGATGGTAAACCAGAGCCCGCAAAGCCCTTCCTGGGCGGAGCGGGGGCCCTACAAAGTGAATTCAGAGCTGGCGGTCTATGCTTGCTTCTCCTGGAACTCAAGATCAGGTGAAAAACCGGTATTTACAGCGTCAGTCAGCCCAAAAGGGACTGGATGTGCCACGGATGATGCTCCCCGCTTCCCCCTCGGCCTCCCGGAGCCTGGGGGCCAGAGATTAACGGACCTCAGCCCACCGGTGCTGCCCTGCTTGGCTTCAATCTGCTATTGCTTCCCGTCTGTCCTACTGCCTGGTCCCTTGCCGCTGCCTCCCCAGATTACACACACGGTCTGCCCCCCGGGCACCCGCGCCCTGCCTTCCCACAGGGCACGTGCAGGGCGCCCGCGTGCGGTGTGACCGGCTTGGTCGCAGGAGGATGCTGTGTCCGGTGGGACTCACGTCACCGGTGTCCTAGGTCCTCGGCCCGCACCTGTCTCCCAGAGCTGCCCGCACCCTGGACCTGTTCTACAGACCATGGCATCGTCCACATTCCAAAGTCGGGCTTCAACGGTCCGCGGTGCTTTCTGAACTTGGATGAGGCCCGGGCGAATGCCTATCTATTCACAAACGGGAATTTCCACCCAGGGCCCGGGGATCCCTCCTGGAGGCAGGCGGGCATGTCGGCTCGCTGCCGATTCCTGGGCCCGACGTTGACAGCACGCTGAATCAAACACACAGGTGCTTGGGGGTGAAGAGCCGCTTCCCCTAATTTACTTACAGACAAGAAACGATTAGTACAGCAGCAAATCAACCTCCGGGTGATTCATAAGGCACCTTGTTCAATGGAAATGGGCCGAACTGGCGGCAGGGGGCATCTGTCCGGCGTGGCTGCTCCCGGGGGAGGGCGCCGAGGCCAGGGCTACGTGAACACGGGGTCTGCAATGCCGTGGTCCGGGTTGCAGGTGAAGGCGATGGTGACGGCGTAACGGGTGCCCCAGTGGACCTTCTCCACGCGGTGCAGGTTCTCGGACCCCGAGGTGAAGAAGGACACCCGACCTGGGACAGAAGAGAGCAGTGACCAGGAGGCCACACAAACGGCCGGCCCTGACGCAGCAAACGAGGAGAACGGGACAGGCCCGCCCGCCACGGAACGGCTGGGCAGGACGCAAAGCAGGCGAGGCCGTCGGAAGTGAGGGGCCCCCCAGCCCCTGTCCCGGCCCTCTTCGCGGTGGGCGGGCCCAGACTTGGGGCGAGGTCCTGCCGCCGCCCAGGGCGCCCCGACAAGCCACGGGACCGCCCCAGGCCCACCCCTCACAGCCTTTCAGGTCTGACGCTTAGGACCTTACTTCTAATCCCACGTCAGACAAAACCAAACCCTGCAGAGTGATGGCAAAGCTTTAACCAGGAATCGGGGAAGACGCGTCAAGACAACGCCAAGCGCCTCGCCTCGTTAGCTCCCATCAAGTGGGGACAAAAGGCGAAGACGTGGGGAGAGGCAGCTTCTGAGTCAAGAGGAGGGGGTCCTCCAACCGTCAACAGACAATTCCACTCATTGGCTTCCGTCTTTAACTGGCCTTGCACACAGCACCGTAGATCTTTCTACAAAGGGGCTGACCGTTGCAAAGCCGCAGGGGAGGAACCTGGGATTCGGCAGGCACTGTGGCAACTGCATTTCCCTTCGAAGCTACTGCTGGAAACGCGACTGCTTCCTTCATACTTGCAACTCGACCATAATCTTTGCAAAGGAAAGGAAAGTCCATCTCAGACGCTTGCTGCTTTCTCGTTGTAAGCAAAGAACTGTGCTCTGCTTGGGAACAACAGAGCAAAAGAAATTGTGGACACAGCAGAAGCCGAGTGTGAGCCCGGTGGCTCCTGGAGCTCACACACGGTGCCGTCCCCGCGAAGGAAACACTCTTTCCCAGAGCAAGCCGCACGCACAACACTCTCTGAGACCCACATTTTTAAAAGACATCTTGTCCTCAGTCTCTTGCACTTTGATTCAAACCTGAGACACTGGACAAGCAGCCAGGCCTGTGTGCACGCCCGTCCATGCCCTCTGCCCCCTGTGCAGAAGGACACGGCAATCAAGTGTCTGTTGACATGCAGTAAGAGTGGGGGTCTCCGCATCCCTCCCTGCGCGTTGGCACAGTTTGCAAACAGAGACCTTGGGACAGTACAAAGCCTCCCACCGTTCATGCTGCTGGAGCCTCAGAAGAAGAAATTAATATTGGGGCAGAAAAGGAGGACTTGAGGAAATGATCACCCAACTTTCCCCAACGTGACGAAAACCTTTGGCTTTTAGTCCAATAAGCATAGCAAACTCCAAGTGGGATAAATATAAATAAGTCCATGCCGAGGCCCAACACCATGGAACGGATGAAATGAAAGATTTCGGGAAAATCTTGGAAACAGCAGAGAAAAAAGACAGTGACCCGGTGATGGCGACTCTCTCAGCAAGAATGGAACCCGAATAAAGGAATGATGTTTATAAAGAGAAAGGAAAATGCTATCAGTCCTGAATTTCACAGTCAGTGAAGATAGCCGGGAGAAAAGGTGAGATGGGGACGTTCTCAGAAGAGCTGCTGCCAGGGGTGTGATGCGTGAAGGCCGAAGGAAAGCGGTCCCCACTGGAAACCCGGATCTACGGAGAGGGTCCTGGGAAGCATGAGTAAGGGGGAAAGTGTGAGGCGCTGTGGCTATTTTCCTGTGGATTCCCATGAGGCCGAGGACGCTGTGTAAGGAATGGATGCCAACTTTCATGTGGCCTCGCTGGCGGGCAAGCTGCGCTGCATCTCTCGCCCGGCAAACGCCGGTTCCCGTGACGTCTGTGGGCACGGACCAGCCTCGCTGAGCCCCAGGCGGGGACGGGACAGAGGGAGTGTTATAAAATAACCTGGCAGACCCCCATCTTGCCCACCTAGAGAGAGAGATTCTCGGGCCCCCCAAATGCCGGTGTGATGACCTGTGGAGAAAAGTGCGACTCGGGCCGTGCGGTCCTGCCGGAGCCCCTCTGTGCTTTCTGCGTGCAGCCCAGCAACGGAGCTGGGAAGTGCACCGTGGTTCCGATAAGCACAGGCACTACAGACGTGCTCTGCAAGAACCCAGTGGCAGGCTACTTGTCACCAGAACCACGAGGAAATTACCAGCAGAGGATGAAGTCACCATCTGTGTGGTGACCAGCAGGCCAGCACCGCCAACACCACACGAGGCAAAGAGCAAACACGGTAACACTGACACTGGAGGGCGGGTCTCCCAGAACCACGTCCCCCAAGGCCACGTCCCCCAGGCCAAGTCTCCTATGGCTGAGTCTCCCAGGGCCACGTCCCCCAAGGCCACGTCCCCCAGGCCAAGTCTCCCAGGGCCACGTCCCCCAGGCTGAGTCCCCCAGGCCAAGTCTCCTATGGCTGAGTCTCCCAGGGCCACGTCCCCCAAGGCCACATCCCCCAGGCCGAGTCTCCCAGGGCCACATCCCCTAGGGGAACATCAAGTTGTCTGAATAATACTGCCCACGTAATTCTATAAACATGAAACATTTCAGAATTCAGAAAAAGGTACTTTCTGGCTTTTTACATTCTTCAGTAAATGACTTAAAATAAGATTTAGCTCAGCAACTGAGTAACCAAAAATGTGAAATAATCTCAGTTTTTGAGGTCCTTCACGTCCTTTTCCTCTTGGGCCACAAGGGTGTCTCTTGAAAGCAGTGACAGGTGACACCCGGCCTTAGCACCAGAAGCTTCTCTGGTTCTTAATCTGCTAAACTGCCGGAGCTGCAGGGTGTCTGGAGGCCCCTCCTGCCCGCTGACTGAGCCGGGTCTGCACCTCTTCCCGTGCTCACCACAGAGGGAGGAGAGCAAACCCTGAGCTGCTTAATTCCCTTTTTACAGCTTTGATTTCCACGCTACTGCGTGTTCCTCTCAGAGCTTCGACAGGGAGCGGTTTGGACCCACTGGCTTGGTCCCACGGCCGGCAGGAACATTCTTAGCCAACCCAGAAGGGCAGCCTCTCTGGTCTGACTGGGCTCCCACCAGGCGGGCGCCCAGTGAGCAAGTGAGCGCAGTGCGGCAGAACAGGTGAGACGTGGCCGCAGGGGGACGGCGCGGCCCAGGAGTCTGGGCCAGGTGTCCGGGCTCTGCCTGTGAGTCTCTGGGAGTCCTGGCTGGGGCTGCGAACCCAGCCTTCCCCACAAGCGCCAGAAGGGAGGGGACGGTCCCTCCGCTCAGCACATGCTCACGGGCCGCTCTGAGTGTCCGTGCCGTGCTGGGGGCCCTGGGGGCTCCAGGACCACCTGGTCTGGGGAGGCACAGAGCGGGAATGCACTGCAGGAAGTGGGGGGCTCGGGGGATGTGCAGCAGTGACCTGGGGCAGCGGGCGTGTCCAGGCCAGCAGATGGATGGCTTGCCCAGCTGCCTGCAAGCCCGGGGCTGCCGCCTGAGGGTCCTACCTGCTCTCGGCTCCACCGTCTTGTTGGCCCCCTCCTCCATGAACACGAATCGGCCCCCGCCGAAGTCGTCCAGGTAGTCGGAGAGGTAGAGCAGTGAGGTGTAATCGAAGGAGCCGTAGGTCACCTGCGGGGAGAGCGTGAGGGAGCACGTCAGCGTCCGGGCGCTCGTGGGGCACACCAGCCCAGAAGGCCGCGCTCGCGCTTCCGAGGTCGGTCAACAACACATGTCCGCCTCCTAAATGAGACCGCCGGCTGCCTTCCCGACCACAGACACACCGCGGTCAGGCCCGCGGTCCTGCGCTTTTGCCTGGGGCTCCCGCACAGCTCAGATGCAGCGCCTGCGGACGCTCGGCCGACAAGCCCGAGCCACGCGATTCCCGGGACGGTGGCCGTGTCACCCGCTAACTGGCAGCTCCCACCTCCCACGTCCACACACGGAACAAACGCGGCAACGACAAGTGCTTTTGCTCTTTCTTCACATGTGGGGCAGCCCCAACCTTTGCTTCTAACTGTAGTAAAATACACGTGCCATAAATGTGCCATTTTAGCCGGGGGCACGAAGCACATCGTAGTCACGCAGCCATCCCCACCATCCGTCCCCAGAACTTCGCCTGGCATCTTCCCAAACTGACACTGCCCCCGTTAAACACTCCCGGCCCCCACCCTTCTGTCTCTGTCTCTGACGACCCCGGGGTCCTCATCTGGCGGACCCTACGGTGTCTGCCCTTTAGTGCGTGAGCCTCTTTGCATAGACGCTCTTCGGGCAGACCGCACGGGCAGTGCAAAGCGGATGGTGAAGGACGGGGCCTGGCTGAGGGCTCGTCTGAGCACGGACCCTCTGATGACCGACCCCCACCCCTGGCCTGGACGGAGGGACGTAAACAGGGGGCGGCTATCATTTGTTCCCTCAGACGCCCTGAAGTCTGGGAGGCGAGGCACTGTTCGCGGCCAGGGCAGACAAGGGGCACCACGTGGAGATGCTGTTTTCTCATCTGCAGGGTTTGGTTTAGAACCTCAGGCTGCTGAGGAGAAGCTGACTGCACTTCTCCAAGGGCTCACTCACACAGATCGGGATCTGGTTAATAAAGGGAACCACCGAGATACGCATTCTTTTCACACAAAGAGAGTGATATCGACAAACAAGGAATTTTAATCACATAATAACATTTTCCAGGCTGATGAATCATTCAATTAGCAAGTGTGGGGTAAGAGATAAACGGAGGGGTCTAAGAACTGCAGTCCAAACCGTCGCCCCCCAGCCCTGGCGCACAGCCCGACTCTCTCCTCTAAGCCGCCGGGCTGACAGCCAGTCATACGTGATTCTATTGACACCTGAAGGCATCCTGGGAACAACTCAGAAGCCCCAGGCCAGTCTCACGTGCCATATTTGATCAAGGCTCGAAAAGTCTTCTCCCCCTGCAACCATCTCTACCCCCATCACCATGATGACAGTCACCTCCTGACGGGAGGGGGGCCGGCCAGCAGAGCTGCCATGGTGCCCAAGAGCAATGTCACCATCTCACAAACTTGGCACCACGCAACGTGAGGCTGGATTCCTATACACCTGGGCGTGTCCGCATCCCCCACTAAGACCCCGACTCAGGTTCCCCTTGTCCGGAATCCCTTCTCCCAACAAACACCAGAGGGATAAGCCTGCGAATCTCCTGGGGCCGGGCTTCTTGAGCAGCTTCCGCAGTGAACCTCATGTCCATCAATCATACGTGAGCCACGTAAAACCTGAGAGAGACCCCGTGCAGTGGGCAGGGGGTCCAGGAACCTGACCCTCTCCTACCCGCCCACCCCCAGATACTGCAAAGGAACCCTCAGAACTTGCGTGAGAACCAGGGAGCTGGTTGGGAGTGGCGGGGGTGTCTCTGTTCCTGAGCTGAGACAAGAGCCTCGCGGATGAGGAGCAGATGCCACGTTCCGGAGTTCTCTTGCGTCTGAGGACATCTTTTTGCCACGTCCACACGGGAGCGGCCTGTGGCTGCTCGTGTGACCCCGGCTCCTGCAGACCCTTCCGTGGCCTCCTGGCTCTGAGCATCGCTCTGGAGAGCCTGAGGCTGCTGACATGTGACTGGTGGCCAGTCTCCTCCCGCCTGAGGAGTATTCTCTTCGAAGTTCGAGAACGCAGCCGGGCCACGCTCAGGGTTGTTTCTCCTGAGCGGACTCCTCCTGATGGGTGGAGGGCTGTTCCTCCTTCGTGCAGGAGATCCTCCTGGGCTCCGGCCCACGGAGGGGGCTCCCTTCTCCGTATGCGGGACGTACCCTTCCATCCTCCACACTCATCGTCTTTGCCGTCAGCACCGTAAGAACCACTTCTGCCCCTGCAACGTCTGTGATGATCTCACGGCCAAGGTCGCACCTGCCGCCTGGTGCAGTGACAATCGGCGGTGGTCACCCACAGACCAACGGCTGCCACAGCCGTGAGGGGCAGGGGGACGGGCCGGACCACAGCGGCCCGGACTGGCGTCTGAACACACTGCAAGCAGACACCGGGCCTCCCGCCGTGAGGCCAGAAATCCCGCAGTCCCAGCCTGAGTCTGGGGAGCCCCCAGAGCATCGCTGGCCCGCTGGGAGCCCCTGGCCACAGACGCCACTTCCATTTAAGCTGGCTTGAACTGATTACGTATTGGGGTCCTCAGTTTCACTAACCACACCCTTGTGCCCATGGCCACGCGTGGTGCCGCCTCCGTCAGCCCAGTCGAGGTTAAACAAAGGCTGAGCATCTGGCTGGGTTTCAGAGCTGAAGCCCCATTTGCAAGCGTGCGTCCCAACCTGCCCTCATCACTCATCCCAAGCTTTCCGGGTATTCTTCACTTGCTTCTTTCGTTCTAGCATCAAGGGACACGAGGGACGGTCCTCGGTCACCTGAGCACACCTGCAGCCCTCAGGTGACCCCAGCAGCACGCTGAGAACACGGGGGGGCGAGGCTGCAGTACAGATGGGGATGGGCTCCAACTCAGCGGGTCGAGATCACTGATTAGCTGGGACTGTGCAACAGAGATCAAGGACGGGAGATCCAGAGGATCCTGAGTGGTCGAGAGATCTTCCCGTGAAGAGGCGGGACGCGGGCGGAGGGCAGGCCCAAGGGGAGGCCACCTGCAGCTGTGGGGACGACAGAGCTGCCTGGTGGCACGTGGTGGAGCTCACGGCTCCAGCGGACGCAGCCACGGAGGACAGGGTGCCACGGTGCCCACCACTTCCTAGTGCACATTTCACTGTCCCAACCGGGGACGGGTTTTACCTCCTTGACGACATCCACGGGGTTCCACAGGGTTTAGGGCCCACCCCAAATGTCGGAGAGGAAGACTTCTAAAATCCCAACCACAGAAACGCCACAGGGCAGATGCTCCGAAGCCCAGGCCGAGCCGGCTCGGGCAGGCACGGACAAGCCCCAGCACCTGCGCCGGAGAGTGGGTGCTCACCTTGTCCACGTGTGCGTGCCAATACTCGTCGTGAGCTGTCCGGGCTTGGGTGCTGTTGATGCGGGAGAAGAATGTGGGCTTTGTCAGGTAGAGCGAAGACACACTGATGCCAAAAGCCTGGGCGATCGTGAGCTGGACCCTCTGCCGCACGTCCCTGTCGGGAGGACACACGCATCACCCAGGAGCAGTGCGGCCCCCGGAGAGAACTCTCCACAGGTCCCGCAGAGCCCACACAGCGCCACGCTGCAAAAAGACACGGACTACGGGCCAGCCGCCAGACGGACAGACACACACCCAGCAGCCTGGGCCTGTGTGAAGGGACACCACGTGCAGGACTAGGAACTGAGCACCGATTCCTTGCAGGAATGGCCACGGCACCAGGCCCGCTGGGGACACTCAGAGCGACAGAGGAGGAGAGCGGCCCTCTGCATCGCGTGCGCGTGTTCCTGAGCGGGGCAGAGAGGCCCTCACTGGGAGCCACAGTGTGCGCAGCCAGGGGCTGGGGCCACCGCCTGCCACAGCAGAGGGGTGGCACCCCGTGGAGACACCGGCCCCTTCCTCGCACGTCCAGGGGGCTGGGCTCCAAGCCCTGCACACACGGCTGTGGGGCGAGGTGCCAATGGAGCATAGCCCCCCACGTCGGCATCCACAGTGAGGGCACCACCTCTGCCTGGACCGCTGCTGACCTGCACAGCCGAGCTCCAGGGAGCCGCCTCCTTGTGGGAGGCCAGATGCAGGGGAGCAGTGCTAGACGGGTTGACCCCCATCTTTCAGGTAGACACACGACACCTGCTGCCTACCCACCCACCTACACGCCTCTACACACGTGTGCACACGGACCTCCCTACACACACCAAACGTACACCCTTACACACGTGTACACGTACCTACCTACACGCAGCATATTTACATGCCTGGACACACGTGTGCACACGGACCTACCCACACACGCCATACACACTTACACCCCTACATATGCCCAAGTCTGCGAGACTCAGGTACACGCCCACACGCACCTACACATTCAGGGGCCTGCCCACGTACCCGCGTGCACACGTGCACAGCTAGCTCTAGCCCCACAAATGACGTAGCTCCAGCACAACAGGGTATCCTTCCAACATCTCCAAACCACCGGCCGATGCTTCAACAGGCACACCAGTAGCCAAAGGGTGCCCCATTCCGCAGGGCGCCAACTGGGGGCGCACCAGACTTTTCCTGGGACCCCCTTAGACTCATTTCAGTAAGTACAGCAAGCACTCTACCATTAGCGACGTTCATGGAACCTCTGCTGGGCCAACAACTACATGCAGAATGCTTCTAACCCTTCAACGGGGTAGGAGATAGGTGTGCGCTCAGCAGCTCTTATCAGCCAAGTCAGAAAAACTACTTCTGAGAACGTCAGAATTTTTAGTGGGCTTTGTTGTCTTCATCTTTGTTCACCTTCAATGCGCAAAGCTTTGCCAACAGTGTTGAGCCAAATGTCCCAGTTCAACGAACCGAAAGAACTTAGAGGCCCGTGGTATTCCTTCACTCTGTCATCAAACCACACACTCTGTGGATGGCACACTAATGAGGTGATGGTGCTCCTTCTGGGCTCCCGGGGGCCCGCCCCGGACAGTCCTCCGGTTTTCAGTTCCGGCCACTGCATGTCACGCTGCACACTCTCCCTGAGGTCAGCAGACAGAGGACAGCCAGAAAAGACGGGAAGCAAACTGACGCTTTACCTTCAGCACGTCCAGAGATGGCTGGGAGTCCGAGGAAACCACGTGGACGTGGCACCGAGAGCGGCAGGAGCCCTGCTCCCGGGGGCACACTGACCACCTCTGTAATAAGCCGAGGTGGAGTTCCGGGAATTTCTCACCCTGAACATTAACCATAAAGCCAACCTCAAAGCTTTCCTTCCAGCTCACAAGACACACAGAGCGGAGCATTTTGTATTTTGTGTGAATTATCAGAATGCTTTCGTGGGAGACAGGCAGCTCTTCTGACCATGACATCGCCATGGCCTCGAGAGTCCCCAAACCTCGCTCTCTTGGTCCAGCAGAAATGTTCTGTGACAATCTAGACCATAAATGAGATCAGGCTGAGATCTCATGCTGGTAATACTCTTGTCATGTCTCAGAATGCTCAATTATTTTTAACAACAGAATAGACAAAGTTAGAAAAAAGATTCCAACGGCACCCTCTAAAACTGCCATTTCCTTGACAACACTATTTGAGACTCTATTTTGAGAAGTTTTAGTGATTGGGTTATTATTATGATTATTTTTTTTTTTAAAGATTTTATTTATTTATTTGACAGAGAGAGAGATAGCGAGAG